GCCATTCTCGACCGTTACGGACAGCCACTCTTAAGATCTATCATCAAGTACGCAAGAACATTTGCAGCCCAACTCAATGTGGACATAACGTATAATGCCGAAAGCAATAAATATATCTTAACCTCCAACGACACAGTTATAGAAGTGAATAACTGTCAACCTAAAAGCATCAAGTCCATCGTAAAGAACGAATTAGTGAGAAAGTACGAACTCGAAGTTGAACAGCAACCCTGGGTTGGGCAATTCATGGCTAAACAGTGGAAAAACAAAGACCTGCACAAAGAATGGTGTGACATCTCAAAAGTCTGGAAAAACATTCCAACTGTTGTACAGTATTCACACAAGTATTATTCAACAACTATTGCCAACTAAAGTCTATAAGGCAAAGAAACTGAAAGGTGAAGAAGAAGATCTGAAATGTCGGCTTTGCCAATCTGGAGATGAGAGTATTGCACACATCATGTGCAAATGCTCGGCCATAGCCCAATCGCTCTACACATCAAGACATGATCACACGATTAGACCTGCGTATCACGCGATACTTAAGAAGTTTGAACTTTCTGATGATAAAGACAACGTAACACCTTGGCACAAAGAACTACCCCCAAAGAGCACTGTCGAAAATGATGAAGCAAAAGTACTGTGGAATATCCCTATCTACCAAGACAGCCCTCCAAAAGTTAATTATATTTGAAGGAACAGTCTGTAATGTAGGAGAGATACTTCATAGGGATAAAAATAAAACTGTTAAATATACTGACTTAAGATCTAGTCTTAAAAGAATGTACCCTGGATATAAAGTAACGCAAGTCAACATAGTATTTGATTTTCTATCTGGGTATCACACGGATTTGATTAGTAAACTGGCTGATGTAGGCCTCACTGATGGTCTAAAAAATGTAAGAAAGTGTCAGAAATGGGTTATTTCACAGAACTGTGAGATTGTGAAACGTCTGTACAATTGTTAAATTTGTATACACCTTTGTAAAACCAGTCATGCAGATAATTTGCTTAGACTATTCATGCCCGCAATATTCTGTATTCATGTAGCAAAAATGTCTGAAGTTGAAATAAACATATGATAATAATAATAATTATTATTATTATTATTATCATTATTTATACATTCAATATAAACTAAAAAGAGAAGCAGAGTCATGTTTGTTAGTTTAATTAAAATTCCCTGAACAAAACGTAAATAACCATTGTCGTAATAACCAATTTAACCACATATTGAGGCGTTATAGCCAAGCCATGCACAAAAGGTCTTGCCTCTTCCACAGAAGGTACCAGTCCATCCCGATTTACACTTGCATGTGTCTGGTGCTACACATTCTCCACCATTGGGACCACAACCAAGAGAACAAGTTGCTATAAATTGAGGAAAATATTTATTTAACATGTTTTGGTGTGTGTGTTTAGTATGGTGTGCTCTGGTATTTTCTGGTGGTGTTGTGGTGTGGTGTAGATAGCATGGTAGTTTGGGATTTGATAATGTGTCATGTGTTGTTGCAAGGTTGTTAAATGTTGTTGTTACAAATGTACCCTATATGCTTCGTCTCTATTAAAGACCTATAGTAGCTAAAAGGAATGTAGGAATTGAATACTATCATTTTGATCGTAACACTTCAAAGCCTGCAGAAAACCACACCCAGTGATGCCAAAAAATGCCACACCATATCACACGCCACTAGACCATACCGTACCATAAAATATCATATCATATCATATCATATCATATCATATCATAACATACCATTCCATACTATACCGTACCGTACCGTACCGTAACCTACCATACCTTATATCATATCATACCATACCATTCCACACCATACCACACCACCATAAAATACCATACTATACTAAACTGGACCACACAATATCATACCACACCTCACCACACATATTTGATGGACTGCTCAAAGTTATTTTAAGGTGCTGTAAAACACACAAAAACTTTGGCCTCAAAAATATATAATAAGCTGAAGGAGAGCTTCTGGTATTTCTTTTTTGTTTGTTTGTTTGTTTTTTTAACTATAGCGGACTAACTTTATTATACTTACGTTGGTCACAAACTTTTTTGCCATCAATGGTCGTGTTCGACCTCCATCCAGGACAGCAGTACAACTGAATCACTGGCTCTGTTCCAGTTCGAATGACATATAGAGTTTTTGTTGCTTTTCTAATCCGAAGTAACAACAACGAAATATAGTGGATTAATGGATAGAAGCTTTACGAAAATTATCAAGTGCTCCGGTAGATTCAGGATTATGAGAGAGAGAGATTTACAAAAATTTACAAAATCACTCATCACCCTGACTGTCTTTATCACCATTACGATCATCATCATCTTCATCGGCATCATCATCATCAGAATCCTTCTGATAAATTAAAATTCATACTGTATTTCATAGGTATATTATGATGTGCAAGTAGTATAGGGGATGGGGGTTCCAGCGCAACGACCACCGGAGGATTACCCGTCTAAAGTGAATTCCTCGATTCGTACCGCGATTACCCGCATCCCGTGT